GTTGTATCCATTCCAGAGTCATCACTCTACACTTACAAGGTCTTATATTTTGATGTTCGCTTTCAATTTTTTAATGTAGGACATAATTACTTAGTTATTAGTAGTTTTAACTTTGGAAAACRTCACACAATCATGACGGTGCAGGAAAATAAATCATTATAAATGTTGGTGACACCATCCTATAACTTTTGGTGTTTATTTCTGTAAGAAATTGTATTTTCAAACTTTCTCACAGTACTTATTACAAGAAGTTATGGCTTTTTGGGTGTTTTGAAGATAGACCTTTATTGTCATGTACAGAGCACAATGAAATTATTGTGCTCTGTACAATGACAATAAAGGTCTATCTTATCTCATCTCATCTCATCTCATCTTATTCATAATTATTCAAAACATACATTTTAACATAATGAGAAACCATTGAGAAATTAAAAACTGTGTGATCAAACCTTTTACTTTAAATAGTGTCAGATGCTTTGACAGGAACTGTAGCAGGATGTTTCCGCTGACAGCGTTTGTTGTCATGAGCTTCCTTTTTTATACCATGTTTGTTCCCTCGTAAACTCCAACTTGAACGTTTGTCTCAGTTAAGTGTTTTTTTTTTTTACTTTTTATTAAGCCGGTGTGTAGACTAATGTTACAGTGGTTAAATGTGAAAATATAAAAGCAACTTATCGTCATCTTTTTCTTCACCCTGTTGGAAAACACAGTGTGGTTAATAGGGGTGCACAGATAAATCAAATGCTAATTTACGGCAGGTCAAACTTTTTAAAGACTGATGACAGAAAACTGCAGTCGGTGCACCCCTAGTGGTTAACCCTGAGGCCTTTATAAGACATTTGTACGGATTCATGAAAAAACAACAAATATTACACCACAGTGACACCAACCTGCGATGGAGGTCTGCAGTCAAACTACAGCAGTGAAAACTTGTCTCCAGCTGCTCACCTCTGATGACTAAAATCATCCTGACAAGAATTCTTCTACTGAATTTGAGGAAATATTAGGTCTGACTTTGAAAGTTGAGCCTGCAAAGAGCTTTRAGATGGTGCCTGTCTCCAACCATCAATAGGTGGGCGGTCAGCTGCCCCCCTGGACAGGTTGAACCTTGCGTGTACTATRTGTTTTTAGGAGAACCCAGACAAATCCCCCTGCAGCCTATAGGAACCTTTGTAGGCAAGTAAATATGATTTYAACTGGASCCTGGGGTTGGACTGCAGAATCTTTGGGTGGGATGTAATGTGCTGACTGATGCACACTTTGAATACACGTCCAGCTTGTGTAGACCCATCGTTTGAGTTGTACTGGTCAGTGGATGTGAATGTGTGCATCTAATACCATCTTATAATTGTGACTGCAGATGATGTTCACCTTTAGAGATTTTGACTGCTTTTGTTTCAGTAAAACCCAGATTATCCAAAAGCCAAGCCTCAAGTTTGCATTCTAACTTGTGATTTTCTTTGTTTCTTATTAAAAAGTTGCACCATTTCTTTTGACATTATTATACAACTTGTCTTTTACATACAGAGTTAAACATAAGCATCAGTAGCTTGAGGGCAACTATAAATATTTTTTTACATAATATTTCTATAAATAAATAGTGATATTTGATCTTTCCTCAGAACGGAGACGTGTGCATCTCTATCCTGCACCCTCCTGTCGATGACCCACAGAGCGGGGAGCTGCCATCTGAGAGGTGGAACCCCACCCAGAATGTCAGGTAGTTTCTACATAGAACTTCACCTTTCACTCATTTTATAACAGACTTGGGCCCATATTTATTCAACTTCTTAGAATTACTCTTAAGAATGCTGTTAAGAATGGACTTCAGTGTAAAAAAATTCTTAGCTAAAAGCTGAGCCTAAAGGTCTGAGTCTCACTTTAAGCAAAGCCTACGAGTCACTTTGCTGTGCCGCAAAGCTGATCCTGGATGACGTTGTTACAAAACCCCCGGCACTGATCAGTGACTGTGTCTGACTTTATGTTCAAGAAGATTCTCAGAAAAATGTCAAGATAAAACTGTGAAAATAYTGAGATAATTTCACTTTCAATACACTAATGACCATACGTGTCACGTTGTACTGGTTGTCCATAAATGACACAAAGTTTCCTCATTTGCTTCAAGAATGCAGATATACAAAATCAACTTTTTTGAGCTTTATATCGTGTTATTTATTCCCTCATCTAAAACATACCCAGAGTGTTGCTTTGACTCATGCATGTTTCGAATCCTTGAATCTCCTRTGGCCATGTGGAGCTGCCTTAACGATTGCTCATACAGAGCACCACCTCTTTGTACAAAGCTCCTACCTGGAGCTCAGTCTGCAGCTTAGATCCCACCCCACAGAGCTCTAGTGCCCCGAAGCATTGTTTTTAAAACATGCTGAAGTGGGAGTGTCTGAAACGGTAGGAGGTTCTTAAAGGGACAGAGGCCAATGTCAGTGTATTTTTGAKATCTACAGTATTTTCATTACAACTGAAGGGAATACTGTTACTTGATTGTGGTATGAAACTGAAGTATGTGCCTGGAAAATACAYAATACCCCCATTTATTATACAAAGCAAGGTAAGAAAGCTGAGCATTAATAGCAAAATTCAAACATATTACACACCCAGCTGAGTTTTCTATCATGTACAGTATGATGCAGGGAAGTCATAGTCAAGTTTTTATTTATTCAACCTGTGGTGTTCTTTATAAATGAGTGCAAAAAAAAATGACAAATGCCAGTCTTTGCATATTCAAGGTAAGTTTATAGTTTGATTAAAAAAGAGAGTATTTAAAATACACCAGCCTTTCCCCCCCCTGATATTTAAAAATGGAGAGTATCCTGTGGGACGTCTTTGTGAATTTCTCCTTAATTCTGCAAGTCAGCAACATTTGCAGAGTTGAGGAAAAAGTGCTGAGTTTGCGTTTGAAAAATCTGAGCACACTGGAAGTAGGGTGTAATTGATCCACATGGGGTGGGGKTCGAGTTTCAAAAGGCTCCCCTGTCATCTGGTGAGCAGACTGGAGSGTTTAATGTTCCCGCTTTGTTTTGTTTTTGTGATCAGGACCATCCTTCTCAGTGTGATCTCGCTGCTCAATGAGCCCAACACCTTCTCYCCAGCCAACGTGGACGCCTCCGTCATGTTTCGGAAGTGGCGGGACAGCAAAGGCAAGGACAAGGAGTATGCAGAGATTATCAGGTACTGTGCTTCATAGGAAGCAGACTTTGTTTCCTCGCCACTCCTGGCTTAACGTGTCTTTCTGATGGGAACCGTCAAACAGGAAGCAGGTGATGTCAACAGCAGCCGAGGCGGAGCGCGACGGCGTGAAGGTGCCGACCACGTTGGCGGAGTACTGCGTCCAGACCAGGGTCCCCTCTCAGGACAGCAGCTCGGACCTCCTCTACGACGACCTCTACGACGACGACATGGAGGAAGAGGACGAGGAGGAAGACGAGAGCGAGATGGAGTCCGTGGGCGAGGCGGGGGGCATGACCAGTGTGGAGGATGGCGGGATGTCCACCAGGCACTACGACGACCAGGACGACTCCGGGAACGAGGAGTCGTGATGATCTGGGTCATAACCCCCCCCACCACCACCACCTTCCTCCATTATTTTCAGTCTGTTGGAACGCGTGTGTGTGTGTGTGTTCATGTGTGTGTGTGGGTGCGTTGGTTTGCACGTACAGTGGGGTCAAAAGTCTACTGCCGAAAACTTTTCATCATTTATTGAACCAATGCCGTCAAACGACGATTCTCGCACGCTGTTCGAGTTCTCAGCAACAACGTTTGTTTTTCACGGAAAGTCGGGATTCGGCGTTTTCACCATTTGCCTTAATCGCCGCTGGCACTGGAAGGTTTGGCAGAGTTGTGAAACGATCCCAATTCTTGTTGAGATATTCTTGAGGATTTTAGTTTAGTTTCTAAAAATGTCYGGTCACAGCTTGAGGATGCAGCCTTGTCCATCGTTTGTGTCGGCACGCAGGCTAACCATCCACACTAATTATTATTAACGTGAATTTATTTGACTGTCATTTATGGTTTTCTCCTTCAGCTCTTGTTTGGTTTAAACYGTAAAAATGTGCAGTTTTTGTGTCATTTAAAATATTTTAAATACTTCATTTATCTCTTCAAGCCAAACACATTTATTTGCCGTTAGAGGAGTTGTATGGTTGTTATAAAGCWTTCACACAGATCAGTTTTTGTTCCGTATGTTTTTCGACAGGTGTATCGTTCCACATCAACAAGTCACGTATCAAAATGTTCAGCTCCTTCAGGACATTCTGATACGCCTTTTGGTTTTTCAGYAATGAATACTTTCTAAGACATTTAGCATTTTTGTTCTTTGACAAATTAATAGAGCCGTCTTCAGCATCCTTAAACCCTTCAGAGTAGTTCAATCTTTCCTGCGTTTTGTACCTTTTTGTTCTGGTTCTGCTTTTTTTTTTAACTTCGTGCAAATTTTAGCTTCCTTCATCTTTTTTTTTTGCTGCCAAAATCTTTTTTTCAGCTTTTTTGTCTTTCTGCTCTTTTCAGTTATTCTGCTAATTAAATTTTCGTGGTTTTATCTTCCATTTTCTACCATTTTAAACTACTTTTTTTTTTGCTGTTTTCAACTAATGTAAACCTTCAACTAAATTCACCTTTCTTATGCTAATTTTAGCTACTTTCTTTCAGCTGCTTATGTCCTCTTTTTGCTTCTTTGTGCTGGATTCAGCTTTTCCAGCTACTTTTTCGTTATTAGCTTTTTTGTGGGGGGGGCACTTTACAACAGTTTTGTACCTTTTATTTTTTCTGCAGACATCTTTCATCATTATGGGTTCAGTGCGAGTTTAGACTCGGTTTTTGATGATCTGTGTGCTTTACGCTCCATCGTCTCCTGAGGTCTGTTTGGTTCTGGTTTGGATTTTGTTTTAGGACACTCCTTSCAACAAGTGGCTCCAAATTGCTTTTACTAATTTCCCACTTTTGGTTAAGATGTTTGGATATAGCTACTAATAGTTGAGAAAAACTCGTGAATTATTTCAATATATGTGTATTTAATCAACTAACTTGCACTGACMAAAAATGAAACACGTGTATCTGTTTCTAATAATTAATTTTCTTAAAACTCTTTTCTGGGTCAACAGATTGTTGTAGTGTTGATAAATGATGAAAACTAATTGGACTCATGGTGGCCTGTTGGGCTCCACTGTCACTGAGCGGCTCTAATTATTTTCATCTTGAAAGATGTTTGGATCTGTCCACCATGTCTGTCCTTGTTTTGTTTGGTTGACACCCTGCCCTGCTTGACTCGACTCAGTAACCAGTCCAGGAGCAGGCCWGCCTTTGTCTCGCYATCATTCAGCATCTTTGTTTCTCACGGCTCTCTGTTCGATTTTTTTGACTCCATCATCCTGTCGAGTAGAAGTTTCAGTGTCCGTCACCGTTTCCCCACCACCCGTCTCTGCCTCTTAAACCTCAGGGCCTCAGTAAGACTTTCACCGAGTGAGTAAAAACAGTCAAAGATAAAGAAAAGACAAATCTCTGCTTCTTCTTTCTTACTTCCTGTATAGTTATAGTGCTGTAATAGTCTCAAATCCACTGCTAGTGTTTACACCTGACTGAGTGACGCTGTTGGTTCAGGTTGGAGTACTTTTTATTTTTTATTCTTTCTCCTTTTGGGTAAAAGCCAAATAGAAAAAAAACTAAATACACTGTAGGGATTTGACCTCAGAATAGAGTGGAGTCATTAGATGTTGAAGTTTTTGTTGTTTGACTCCATGTTGTGCTTAAATGCAACTTGTTGAAAAGTGAGCGTTGATCAGATGGAGAGAAAAATAATCATCTCCCGTATGTACACATTTGAACGTGGCACTGATTGCCTGTTACCTGGGGTGTGTGTCTGTGTGTTTACATTTAGCATTCATGGCTATGATGTCAGGGTTCCCTCTTCTCTTTTTTTTTTTTTTTTTTGTTTTGTTTTCGGTTCTCTTCCTGCTGTGGAATCCCTTCAGACTTCTGTCCGATAAACGTTTGGACTTGAGGAAACACTCGCCTCAGTTGGCAAACGATAAAGACAACTAGAAAAACTCCAAACCTCTTAGTGTTATGCTTCTGAACAGTGTGGACTAATGTTTTTTTTTTGTGCTGCACCATGTAAACTACACATTTTTGTCATGTTCTACACAAAAGAGCACTGGAGCAAACCAGAGATCCTGATGTATGGATGGATTATTATTTTTTTATGCCACGGAAATCGAGTACACCCCCCCTCCCCCACACTCCACACACACAAGCTTTCATTTGAAAGGCTGTGGACCGATGGATGCATGCAGTGGGTTTACTGCTTCTTGTTTTAACTCCTCATGCGATACCTTTTTGGATTCAATGTGAAGCCAGTGGAGTGGAACAGTATTTGCTGGCCCTGTGCTTCAAGGCTCACAGAGACTGGATTCTATTGAGGACGATCCCCCCTCTGACCCGGACCTGTGATGGATTTGATACATTGGCACAAAGGGAGGAGGGTCGATGCTACAGATTTGGAACTGTCATTGACGTGGTTCTCATTTTTGTCCATCCTTCACCGTGTAGAGACTTGATGACCCCGAGGAATGAAAAGTACTAATCTGCTGAAGACAGTGGGATGTATACTGATCAGCCACAACATTAGGACCACTGACTGCTGAGTTTGGTGGCAGGAGAACCCTTTTTCATATGTTTGATATACAAGAATGTGTCAAACCAGTGAATGGTAATGTGGTCAGGGCTCGACGCATCACCTGAAATGATTGTCTTTAAAAGCTGCCACCATTCAATGATAGAAATATGGTCTGAATATGTTGGGGCTGATCAGCGTGAGTTAGATTTATGTCCTGCGCTCGATTAAAGGCCCCTCAGCCAAACCTCCCCAGTTCATGTTAATCATCAATGGCTTTTTTCAAACAATACTTGTGTAAAATTTCTATAAAGCATGTTAAATTTTAAAACGTCCTAGAAATAATTATAAATGTGGCTCTTAGATCAGAATTTAATACGTTTTTTTTTTTTTTGTTACCGTTGCTAAATTTTCTCAAGCCTTCAATTTAAATTGCCTTCACTGCATTGGGCTGAAAGTTGAAAACGAATATAAGAATAATTTGCAAATAGACTTTTGTTGCCGAAAGCCTTACAGCGATCTAATTTATAACATCTTTCACCCTTTTACAGGAAGTTTTCCCAAGCGAGTATGCTTTTTTTTTTACACTCTCAAAACCAATATTTTCAACAAATCAATAATTGCGTGTGAAATTTTCATAAAAATTTGCATTAAAGCCTTGTAACTTGCTTTAAAGCAGTATTACTTTTTAAAAGCTGAAGTAATTTCTATTGTGTAAATTGATTATTGCTTATCATTCCACAACTATGGTTAAAGTTGCAAATTGTGTTTTAATGGTGAGACTAGATGAAACATTCATTCATTCATAATTTTTTATTCATTTCATTAAAAAACAAAATTTTATACACAATAAAAATACAAACAACGAAATGAAGGAAAGCAGAGAGAAGAACAAAATCTTAGAATATTTGCCCCCTTTTTCCTCAAGTATAAATTCAAACAATAAGAAACAAATCTGTTTTGTGAGGAAAAACATGCAATTGGTCAGGCTGTAAATTATGAGTATGATGAACTTGATAACGAGGGCTAAATATGTCTTAAAAGTTTGGTTTCCACAATTTTGGTTTAACAGAAAAAAAGGTTTGTCTCCCTCTCTGCAAAATCCTGATATTGTCAGGTTAAGGCCCTGTCACACTACACAACTTTTGAACTTTTTAAAGACATTTACCTTGAAGATGGAATAAAAAAAAATCAACAGGAAGCTTCTTTTGGACGTGTAATTTGAACAAACTGATCAAATGTATAACTTTTATTAGCAATTTAGACATAAAATTTTCACAAGTTGGCATAAGTTGTCTAGTGTGACAGGGCCTTCGACTGATTTTGCCCGGTTTTGTCCAGTGTACACCACAGCTGTAGAAAAACTTGAAAATAATGTGTTTTTATTGGAATACCTTACAAGCTAAACTGAATTTTGACCTTTTAACGAGTCGAGACGGAAGCAGGTTAGTTGTTTGTGCTAAGCTAACTCACAGCAGTAACTCCATTAGAGTTTAAGTCCAGGTTTAGTGTTGTAATCTTTCATGCTGAAGGCCTTTTGGTAACAAACATTTAAAACAAATACTTGCCTTTTATGATTAGGACAATTGGAGAAAGTCTTAAAATGGTGTCATTTGTGTTGGAAGATGCACCAGTTAATAATTTATCATACAAGTACAAAGTGACTCACTAAAAAGACCACAGTGTGAGATGTTGAATGTTCCAGTACAGTTCCAGTACATACAAAAACTGAATGAAATCATTTAATGTGTGTGAGATCGTGTTTGTGTGCGCACAGCTGTGTATTTCTCAAGGTGAGTAGATTTCCCAGGGTCGCACACTGAAAGACTGACCTGTCCACAATGTCTCCACGATGTACTATTAATGCTGTCCTTTTTCTTTCCCATCATCATCATCGTGTTTGTAAGGATGCAAATCACTCAGTTTTTTATTATTGCTAAAACACGTTGTTGGGTTTTATTTGCAAATGGCTCTGATTTCAAAACCTATATGTCATCAAGCACAGTTGAAAAAGAAAGGAGGCGTTTGGGCTAAAGTTAGGAGTGATATGCAAATGAAACGTTTTAGGTTGTAAAATTATAAAAAATAAATAAAATAAAACAGTTTGTCTTTGAAACTCGTTTAAAGCTTTTATTTAGGGAGTTCTGCTGTTTAGGTCTTATTTTTTTCTGTAGATAAAGCCCTCTTAAGATGATGTGCAGCGCTGTGAAAACGTGTTTTTGGCTCCCCCTTGTGGCAGGATGTCATTGTTTTTGTTTCACCCCCAATTTGCATTAAAGTGCATCTTACCCCCCTGTGAAAAGATAACCAAGGCGAAATTTGAAAAATGCATCAAAGTGGTTAGGGGAGGGGGTTAGAGAGCGGAGGTGTGGCCTGGACGAGAGAACGCGACAGCTAGCATTAGCATAATAATTGATGCTACATGGAGAGTGACCACAGTGATAATCTGAATATTTTCTATTCACATTTAGTGAACTAAGAATTTATTACAGGATCTGAATGACAAATTTACACCAAATAAAACAGTTTCCTCATGTTTTTACACATTAAGTACCAATAGATTTTCTCCACTTAGTTTTGTGTTTGGCATATTTCAAATAACTTCCACTCTAATAAATATTGTTTCTACGTTTGATTATATTACAAGTGACTAAGATTCAAGTACTCACGTTAGTCCATGTTGTCCATAAATGAATAAGACCACTCCGTAAATCATTTACATAAACAGTAAAAACTGATGATGATGACAGGTTTAGCATTCCTTGAAGAAATGCATATTGTCACTCTTTCAGAGTTTCATTAAAATCTGTCGACTGGTTCACAAGATATTTTGCTAACATGACACAAAGCCACGACACCCTGATGATTGTGGTGCAGTGGTATATTGTATGTAAATCCAAAGCAGTACTTCCAATGAATTGTGTCTTTTTAAGACGACTTTCTGACACGTCAGTCCTGCTGAGCCTCTAAGTGTCTGTGAGCTGCTCTCAGGGTTTCCTGCAGGTCTTTGTACCGGGCCAGAGCGCAGGCCTCCTCCAGCTGGGCCCAGCGGAAGTCCTGGTGCTCGTTGGACAGCGTCACCGCTGTTCCCGGGTCTCTCAGCTCGGCCAGCCAGTACAGCACCTCTTTGGGTCTGCCGCGGACCTCGTACTGCAGCTTTTTCACAAAACCGGTTAGCACTTGCAGATGCTCCTCCCCTAGACCCGCCTCCTCTTTGGTCTCTCTCAGGGCCGTGGTCAAGTCGTCCTCACCTGGGTCCACATGACCTGACGAGGAGCGTGTTGAATGTTAGCAGTGATGAAACCTGCTTATATAAAGAGAGTTTCATGTATCTGATCTGACTTTTTGGACACACCTTTGGGTGGGGTCCAGTGGTGGTCTCCATAAGAAGTCTGCAGGAGGAGATACACCACGTTGTCTGGCGGTGGAATGCTGCCAACAAGGCGGCGGAACACTATCAGCCCACAAGCTCGCAGAGCCATCTTCCTGTTCAGTAAAATAAAAGCATTATTTTAAGTGTTTGGACGGTTCATGCTGACCACCACTTTGAGTTTCAGCTAATTGATCTTAGCCAAAACAAAAAATGGCTATAGCTCAGTCATTTTTACACATACTGAGCTGAAATTTGGTGTGATAGTAGCTGAGTAGTCAATACAAGGCTTTCAAAGTATGCTACTTTTTGATTCAAGAATGATTTGGGAAAACTGCAAACAGAACGTTTGGCGTGTTCAAAAGATCCAACTGAGAATCTGTTCGCTGTGCTGGAAAAACCAGGCTGAAGCATTATCTCACAGCTTCCATTTATTATAGGAATGTCTGCCAATGTCCAACAAGCCTGTCAAAACTAGAAGCAAACACATGACCCATATTTTAACTGTTTACTATCTATTTTAAAATGAACAGCAAAAATAATGTACTTATACCTACATTTTCAGTGTTTATCCAGTGGGTAAACTGGATCATTTAAACGTTCTCATTGTTTACTGTCCTGCATGTTTTAGCTGTAGTTAAGGTACCTACTCAGAACGTCATCAAGTTTAGCAGAAGCTTGTTAATGACTCATTCAGGTGTGACGAGGCAGGGAAACATTGAAAACATGCAGTAGGAAAAGTGTCGGGAGAACCTCTGGTTTACTGAACCAGGCAGCAAACATTTTACATTTCAGTTTTTCAAGGAAGGACAAAGACGAATTCAGTACCCTGATATGGCTCTTCTGTCAGGTTTTTAATGGGAAAAAAGTCTGTAAATCAAGAGCACTTGTTCTAAAACAAACAAACAGATAAACCCATATCCACTAATGTTTATCTGTCTGTATTTTCTTAGATTATATTGAGCTGTATAAAAATACTGGGGGGGGATTCGATAAACACAAAACTAGTTTTTGTCACAATCACTTATGTCCACAACATTTACACAAGTAGCTTTTGAGTTAAGCATTGTGAATATTAATTACACGAGCCACTTAAACAGCTTCATATAAACAGTTAGCCTGAATTATTTATAAAAAATAATTAATAGCCTACATTGCTTTTAGCCTACTTAAGATAAACTAGTCTTAAATTAATGTATTTTTATCATAAGCAACCAGAAAGGTTTAAATACTAACATTTAGATTTAATTCCTTTTACGTATTGGCTTTCGAGACAAAATGTTTATTCAGTTTCGTATGATACTGAATTACAGTCAATTTTATTAAGTGACAACTTTACCCTGTTAGCTTATGCTAAAACATTTAGCATTTTAACAGAGTGAACTCGGTAAATAAAAATTTCACGTTCAGTACAGTGAATAATGTTACTGCCGCTCATGCTCATTAACTATCGGGCCGAATATTGTTTTTAAAGTCTCAAACTTACTGTTTGTTTTAATAAATCTGCTTCAATGAGAGGAGAAGGAAGTTGAACGCTCGGATGTGCACCGATAAAAAGGTCCGACCCAGTTAAAGACCGACACACGTAGTTCCGATCTACAGAGAATTCAATGGAAGTAGTTCTCAGCAGAGGGCTATAAAATACTTGAAAAAAAAGAAAGAAAAAGTGAAAGTAAAAATACCTTAACAGAAAAAGACTTTTGTAAAAATAAATGTCACTGATGAGGAAACTACTTAAGTAAACGTTATAAAACTGTTCACAAAAATTGGGAAAGTAGAAGTAAAAGTGCTTTTCCACTCTCTAACAAAAAAAAAAAAAACTATTAAATTTACAGAACCAAACTGGTTCCACAAAACCAAGTTGATTAAATTGGTCAATTTCTTTAAAATAAAATATGTATATCGCTTCAAATTTACTCTGCTAGGTTTAGTGGAAATAGCTGATCTGATTTAGTTGAGTAAATTCAACACTTAATTTTTTAGAGCACATAAACAACTCCTTTCATGAGTTCAGACAGATTTCATTTTTTAACAAGTAGCTAGGTGTTAAACTTTAAAATAAAGAAATAAAAGTAACATTTTTAGTTTTTAAAAGTAACTAAGTAAAAGTCACGATTGAAAAAAATACTTGCTAAATAAAAATCCTCAAAAAAATTTACTGAAGTACTGTAACAAAGTAAATGTACTTTGGATAGTTACTATACACCTCTGGTTCTCAGAACATTTTTTCACATTCCTGTTTATTAYAACAATCCACACATGATTATATTATGCTCTATTAAAACAGTATAATGGTTGTTTAGTGAAGAAAGCCCATGTTAGTCTCTTGTATTTTTAATCGTATTCATTTGGTTACAAAATATGTCATGACATGTACAGTAGGTGCGATGATGTTAACGAAACCATCACAGACAGGTGAAGCCTCCACGTTACAGGACATAGTCTAATCCACCTGACAGTTTTAATTTAATTACTTCCTTCGTTAAAAATCATGAATATGTTTACACATTCTTTTCATACTTTTTTTTTTTCATTTTCTGTGAGAATTGCCTGTCACTTTGCTGCTGATGCACCTGAATTTCCCCACTGGGYGACAATTAAGCTATTTTGTATGATTTGTCCATTTGCATCAGCAGCTCAGATGCAACCTGGAGTTGGCAAGATATCTTTTTTTTTTCTACCTGACCCCAGGCTTTGCGTTTCCATCCCAGCTGTTTGCAAACAGACCCACTGCCTGCTGGAGGTCTCAATGTGGACAAGCATCTTCTGCTGGTCCATGGAGCAGGGTGTGGTTGTGTGGGCTGTGTCGATGTGGGAACTTGCTGGAGACAGATCCTGACAGTCTTTATCATTTACAGTAGGCAAAGTAAAGACTGGACTGCCATCTTCATTTTTACAAAAATAAAACAAACCACAGCCTATTGTTGAACTGGTCAAAGAACATATGATCTTAACTGAAACAAAAAGTATCTTGAAATACCCTGTAATCAGGGGTGCCTCTAAAGGGGGGCAAAAATATACTTAAATAATAATRAAACTATTTAACAGTTTTATCTTCTACAAAAAAAATACATTTAAAATAAGACTAACACATCTGTCTCTTACCACATGTTCAGCAAAAGCAAACATGTTTCTTTACRGTCAAATAGCTGCTGTATTCCACACGTGAGGCTAAGATGTTCAGACGTCATCAGATCCATGGAGAGAGGCTCCCGTCTGACAGGAGTTTGATAAGAAACGGGCTCAGAGTAGGCTGGGCAAACTGAAGACAGCCTGTGCGTGAAGATAATAGAGATGAACCCTCCTTTTCCACGCAACCCCGAGCTGTCAGCAGAGCAATCGCTCATTTGGACAAAGGAGACACAGCTGCTGAGTTCCAAGGTAAAGACACACATCAGAGAAAAAAGG